GGAGAAGTAGTGGGAAAGAGAGAGAGAGGAGCGGAAGAAAGAGAGAGAGAGAGAGAAAGGGAGGGAAGGAGAGGGAGAGAGAGATGGGGATGGAGTAAGGGAGAGAAAGAGAAAATGGGGAGGAGGTTGATAGAGAGAGATGGAGATGGATAAAGGGAGAGAAAGAGAGAGAGAGAGATAAATATATATATATATATATATATATATATATATATATATATATAGAGAGAGAGAGAGAGAGAGAGAGAGAGAGAGAGAGAGAGAGAGAGGGAGAGAGAGAGATGTAGATGGATTAAGGGAGAGAAAAAGAGAAAGTGATAGAGACAGAAAGGGAGAGAGAGAGAGATGAAGAGATAAAGAGATAGAGAGAGAGTGAAAGTGGAGTTGGGGGGGGAAGAGGGAGAGGGAGAGAGATGAAGTCTGAGCATCGCCACACACATCCACAAGCAGAAAATGCACATAAACACTGACGCTGATGTACAAGAAAATGAAAAATCCAATTAAATCCCCTATCTTTCTGCCAGAGCCACCGGCATATGCATTCGTTCCGTCATTGTACTCCCGGGAACAGCAGATCATGAATCATCTTCAAAGTCATTTTCATTCGCCAGGCAGCAGCAGCGGCCGCGGTGTTGTGCATGGCGCTCCCACTCCCCTCCTCCGACGCGTTGCCAGCGCGGCGCAGGAGCCACGCCCTGCCCCCGCGCCTCCAGAACAACTCCTCGCAAGTCGCATTCCCTCCGCCCTCGCCCTTGCGTCACGCGAGATCGTCACATCACATCCGCAGCGTCCCACCGGCGCCCTCGTCGCTGCTGTATTTCGCCCCGTCACTCTCGACGACGCTGGACTCGCGGGATGTTGCGCCACGAAGAGACGAATCCCCGTTGACAAAACGCAAAGCGCATTTGCATGCAGGGGGCGCCCATGTTCCCCAGCCCCATGTATTCTCCGTGGAAGCCTTTGCCGAACCCTTACCGGCCGCATACAACGAGGGCGTCACACGCGGTCACTCCTGAAAAATCCCCGTCACAGGCATATAGCAAGCCGCAGAAGAGTCCATCACAGTCCTACGGGAGTCCTTCACCGTCGTATAAGGGACCCTCAAGGACTCCTTCGCCCTCTTATAAAGTACCACCAAAGTCTCCTTCCTCTTCTTACAAGGCACCATCAAGTACCCCCACTCCATTTTATGAGGTACCCCCTTCCCCTTCCTACAAGGTACCACCAAGCACACCATCATCACAATATAAAGCACCACCAAAGAGTCCTTCATCCTACTTGCCACCAAACAGCCCGCCATCACCGTATGAAGCACCACCGACGTCTCCAGCTCCTTCGTATAAGAGACCACCGAATACTCCATCACCGTTGTGTATGGTACCACCGAACACCGCCTCTCCGTCCTATAAGACACCATCCAGTAGTCCATCGGCACTGTATAAAGTACCAACAAGGACGCCATCGCCATCATACAAGGTACCACAAAAATCCACTTCTCTGACCTATAAGGTACCTTCAAGCACTCCGTCACCACTTTATAAGGTACCGCCAAACATTTCCTCTTCGTCCTATAGAGTAAAATCTAGCACCCCTCCTTCTTCGTCTTATAAGGCACCCCCGAGTATTCCATCATCGTTATATAAGGTACCGACAAAAACTCCCTCGTCACCTTATAAGGCACCGCCTAAGTCTCCTACCTACAGGGTACCGTCAAGCACTCCATTACCAACTTACAAGATACCATCGAGTACTCCATCGCCATCATATAAACTACTCCCAAAGTCTCCTCCTCTATCCTATAAGGTACCGTCAAGTACCCCAGCCTCACTATACAGGATACCACCGAAATCTCCTTCTCCTTTGTATGAAGTACCATCGCTATATAAATCATCTACGAGGGCTCCATCGTCTCTATATAAGGTACCACCAAAGACCTCGCCTCCTTCCTATAAAGCCACAAGTAGCCCGTCGCCATCATATAAGGTACCACCAAAGTCTATTTCCTCATCTTATAAGGATCCATCAAACACTCCCTCACCTCTTTATAAGGTACCACCAAAAATTCCTTCTTCGTCCTATGGAGTACCATCCAGCACTCCAGCGCCATCTTACGAGGTACCATCGAGCACTCCCTCGCCACCTTATATGGTACCACCAAAGTCTCTTTCGACGTCCTATAAGGTACCATTGAGTACTCCATCGTCCCTGTATAGGACACCGACGAAAATTCCTTCTTCGTCCTATAGAGTACCATCCAGCACTCCAACGCCATCTTACAAGGTACCCCCTTCCTCGTTGTATAAGGTACCATGGAGTACTCCATCACCGCTGTACAGGCCATCAACAAAGACTCCATCGCCACCATATGAAGTACCACCACCGTCTCCTTCCCCTTTGTATGAGGTACCATCTAGGGCTCCATCGTCACTATATAAAGGACCGACGAGGACTCCATCAACATTATATGAGGTACCTCCGAAGTCTCCTTCTCCGTCTTACA